ACTCACAGTTAGGTTCAAGTACTTGAAGTTTGTCCCCAGACTCTTTGATAGGTTTTGTAGTAGGGCTTCGCTGAGATACTCCATTGTTAGTGACTGTAAGTTTGTAAACTTCTGAATACAAAACACATAAAAAGTTTATAATTTGAGAAACGACATTTTAATCGTACGACCATAGTTACAGCTAGATCAGTGAACTAGCTAGCAAAAACTCATTAGCCAAGAAGATTTGATTTTAAAGGTCAAGCTAGATGGTCACAATGTGACCAGGGGCGGAACTACAGTGCCGCCAGACCCCGCAATGCGGGGGGGGCCCAGACCAATTGGGGGCCCAAAAATCCTGTCTAAATTATTTAAAAAAAAAAAATTAGGTGGAGGTCGAGTTATCTTTCTTCTACAGTTACAAACAAACACGATAGTCGGCAAACGTCTTTGAGAAAAATGCACTGACTATAGCTCGAGAGACCGCCAGACATATAGACAACTTCAAAGACGAAGCATCTGAAATTTGACTGTGCCGGTACGCTTTGAAATCGAGCTGGGGAAATGTTGCGGCGAGGCGACTATCCTGGTCTTCTAGTCGGCACTATTGATGTAGATGTTTATCGGCGCTTTCTTGTCCCCTTCCCTTCCCAACTCTCTCCCCCCCCCCTCCCCCCCTCCCCCTCACTTCTACCCCTCACCACACCCTTACTCTTACAATAAGATGTAATGCATAGATTAACGAACCGTCTATGAACTGTAAACTGACCACTTCTGCACATTTTGTTAAAGACACTAGTCAGTAGTTGTTCATTTACCTGATGAACAGGGGCGGAACTACAGTCCCGCCAGACCCCGCAATGCGCGGGGGGGGGGGGGGGAGGCCGTTTAGGGGCCCACGCTGACCAAATTTTTTTTTTTAAATTTGAATTTAATTTTTGCCTTAATATTTGGTTTGTAAAAGAAAAACACTGTAGCTGCGGTACGATTATCTTTATTTTACAGTCACTATACCACGCTCTTCCGCAAAAGATAAAATCCATTACACAAACTACAGTGTAAAATATAGGCAACTCTTCGAATTTTGAATGACTTCTTTGACTCGTTGCCCCCCCCCCCCCTACCTTTGATAGGTAACTGTTTGACCGATCCTCCAAAGTATACTGTGGCGGATGGGGCAGGGGATGGGGACCAAAAAGGGGGTTAAAAAATTGTCGACAAATTCTTTACATATTTAAAACAGTTATTTATAGTTGTATTTTTTAACCATCGTCAAGGCCGAGTTCTATTTCCCTACAATCAAACACACGCTGTCGCCGGCAAAATTCTTTTTAAAAAAAAAAACAAAGTCCATAGCACGAAAAGCCGCTACATATGAAGTGGGCTTGCAATACTTTCATGATGCGCGGTTCTTATTTGCGGCATTGGTAGGGGACCCGAAATCCATTGTACATTTTTCAATGTTAATATGTGTTTGTGATAGTGGTTGAATTTGTATCCTGTACTATCTTGTATCGTACAAATAATTTAAAAAAATAATATAATACTAGAAACTTCAGTTTTATATACGTTTACTTGTTTTTGATTTTACAAGAAATATAGTAAACTTTTAAGGCCTATACTTCAAATTATCTCCCCTGAGTAAGTTTTACAATGGGCGATGCTGACATACATAGATCAAGGCGTTTTGTTGTCCCTTTCAAGTTTTTTCCCGAGCCGACCCCTATCCCATCCCTATTTCTCAACCTCACAAGTATCGAGGAGATAAATGTATCGTTTATGAACTACTTCCTAACCGTACGATTCACCACTTCAGCACATTTTGTCAGACACTAGACAGCACTAGATCTAGTCAACAGATATTAATTTACTTTCATAGTATTAGGCACATCTAATTCACAAAACAGGGCAGGTAATATTATTTTTTATATAATTATTTAGAAATTAATTAGAACGTTTAGAATTAATTGAACATTATTAATAGTCATTGAGGTGGGGGTGTGTGAGAGTCAGGCTTTTTGTTAATCCCCACTCCCCTAAATCAGAAGGTTATCCAACGCGTGACCTGGCCACATACAGTTGTACATGTGAAAAACATTTTTCTCTCTATTATTATTATGCATTACTGCATCATTCACCCAATCGCCATGAAAACTTGGGAAGCTGTTGAGTACAGCCCCGCAAAGGTTTCTGTCATAGGCCTAACATTTGTACATATTTGAGTGGGGACTCCTAACGGAAATATGTGATTTAGCGCCCCGTGATACTGCATAAGCGGATGAGGTTACTACTTGAATACAACTGGCGTCAGTGTCATCCTGAGCAGTGTTTCTTCCAGACTTTTTTCTCCGGGGGGGCACTTGAAATCTTCGGGGGGGGGGCGGTAAACTTTCTTCGGGGGGGGGGGGGGGGCGGACACTGTTAAAAGTATATATTTTCTATATAAATTATATAAATTTCATTTCGTTCGGGGGGGGGGCGGTAAAAAAATTTCGGTGGGGCTTCGCCCCCCCCCCCCTCCGAAGAGATGCCTGGAAGAAACTCTGATCCTGAGCGCATCACATTTGAGCAAGTTGGCCCCCACAGACAGTCGTTTAAAAGTTCCCACAACACTAGGAATAAGTCTCGCTACTACACTCGATGACTAAATCTAATTAGGTGTCGCACCAATGTTTCTTCCAGGGTAGACTGTTTTCGGGGGAGGGGGGGAGCTCTGCCGGAAGAAACAATGTGTCACACCCATCACCCGTGCAGTAATGTAACCGGTAGCTCCAAGAGCCCCGTAACTCCCCTGACACCTGGGCCGTCGCCGAGGGATTTACAGCATGCCTTGGCGTGTCTAGTTGGTAGTGTGGACAAACCCGCGCCCTAAGATCCAAGAAATGAACTGCCGACATTGTTAACATTTAATTCAACTTCTGGAAAACAGGGCACACGGTTAGTAACGTTTTGATGAAAGCCTCAGTTTAGTGTGTTGGACTAGATTTAGAAAGGGGCCAGCTCGTGTGTTGGAAAACCTCTGATTTATTCGTGTACCAGATGGAATTTTTTTTAAATTGAGAGCGAACCTTGTTTTATATATATATATATATATATATATATATATATATATATATATATATATATATATATATATATATATATATATATATATATATATATATATATATATATATATATATATATATATATATATATATATAGGGGCCCAAAAAAATTCTTCGGGGGGGGGGGGGGGTTACTAGTTCCGCCACTGATACACATGACATGTTGTTGTGATTAGATTTAATTGAATTTTTTTTTTTTCAAAACCCGATCAGGCCAGAAATGAGTATCCTATGTTCGTATTGTGTTTATATATATATATATATATATATATGGGGGCCCAAAAAATTTTTTGCGGGGTGGCCCATTTTTTCTAGTTCCGCCACTGAATGTGACACTGTCAAAATCTACGCTTGAAATCATTAGCCTTGCTTTATGCACTAGAGTGGGGAGATTCGTGTGTCTAATATTTAAAATCATAAAATGAAAACAAATTTGACATCATTACTGAGGGTTTGAAGTTAATTTCCTATCTTTACTTGTTTGAAAAGCTGCAGACTTGTGTTTAGCTGATTCCTTAGTTAAATCAACAACAGCTGCTTTAAGTCTTAAAAAAAAAAACTAGATTTAATACCCCAAAATTCCCCAAAGTTTAGAGTTTAACCGGATCCTATATTTTAAAAAGTCATAAGAAATTTTTTAAAGTCGAAATGCATTCTCTGATGTACCTTTAAAAAGCTGGTGAGAAAAAAAATGTTTTCTCTTTAGTATTAAAGAAGTTTTGTTTTACCGGAGCCTTCCCCCTTAAGCTAAGAAGAAAACACGTTGATAAATAATAAAAATGTAAAAAAAATTGGACATAAAAAATGTCAAATGACTCACTTTTAAGACGATATCGAATGCATGAATCGGTCGATAATGTAAGTCGTCGTAGTCTTCATAGGAATTAATCAAACACATTACTTTGATTTTCTCCCCTGAAGATTTGCCTAGAATTTCCAAGAATTCGGTTACGAATTTGTCTTCAAAGTTTGTATCTTTCAGTGAAAATGTCTGTGGGACGATTTAAAAACAAACTCTTCATTTTGTATAATAGAAGCAATGCGAGACGGAAATTTAAAAAACCATGAAGAGTTGTATAGCTAGAAACACAAACACCTGTTATGCTTAATCTTATTCATCATAAAGTAGATGAGTTTTAAAAACAAACTCCCCAGAATTTTTTTGGGTACTTGTGATGACGTCACTTTAGGAAACAATTATAAATAGATTAAGGAAATTTAGGGTAGTTTTGTCATTGGTTAGTAGATAAGAATGAATCAAAAGACCATCAAGAAGCGAGATAAAGTTTAAGCAGTAGGTAGCGGCAGTCATATAACTGAGGTAATAGTCGAAGAGTTAGAAGTGTGATGTCTAGGATCGATGTTAAAGTTGAATAGATTTTAGTTAAGTAGCGTCGGAATATATTCGTGATAGAGATAGTTGCGTTGATTTGTAAACGAAAAACCAAATAACTTATAGAGAAACAGCAAGTCATAAGGGAAAATAAAATTAAGGTGTAGGTTCAGGCTTTGGTGTAAGTCTATATAATACATAAAATATCAATGCTATAATACGGCATGTGTGTATATATTGCAGAAAGCATCAGGCTTTTAATGAAAGCTCAAACGAGTTCCCGTATATATATATATATATATATATATATATATATATATATATATATATATATATATATATATATATATATATATATGTAATGCGCCTATCGAGATGATAAAAAGAAGATAAGACAATGATTCAACACTTGCCTCCAGATTTTTCTGCTGCATCAGAAATGTGTTCATAAAAGAAGCAAACCTCCTCATTGCTCCGTTAGTCGGGCCGTCCGGGTATAGCCCCTTCAGCTCTAACACTCGGAGTTTAGATCTCCATAAAATCTTCAAGATGTCCTCCAGTGTCTTCAAAGTATCGTCCATCACCTCGCTACAAATAGAGCACTCAACTCTGAGTTCAGTGACGTCTTTTGCACATCTGTTTGCCAGTGCAATTACTCTTCGCGCTATATCAGTAGATAAAGAATATATATATATATATATATATATATATATATATATATATATATATATATATATATATATATAAATTTCTTTATTTATTTATATATTATTTATATATACATGTCTATCCATTTACATGCATATATATGTAAATGTATATTACGCAAACAAGTGCACGTACACGTATACGTACACTAACAAATACATAAATTGATATTTCATTATGATTCTTATATAAAATAAACTTTAAAAATCTCTATTTTTATCTATTTATATCTCTAACCCGATTCTTCTACATTTCTGTCGTCCAGAAAAAGTTTTATACGCCGCCACAATGAAGGGACTTGTGTTGCCGTCTTCCATGTACGACACACCTTAAGATAATACAGGAATTAAGCAACCAGCCTAACCCACACATGTAGCAACCAGCCTAACCTACACATGTAGCAACCAGCTTAACCTACACATGTAGCAACCAGCCTAACCCACGCATGTAGCAACCAGTCTAATCCACACATGTAGCAACCAGCCTAACCCACAAAAGCAACATGTAGCAACCATCCTAACCCACACATGAAGCAACCAGCCTAACCCACACTTGTAGCAACCAGCTTAAACTACATATGTAGCAACCAGCCTAAATCAAACTTGTAGCAACTAGCCTAACCCACACATGTAGCAACCAGCCTAAACCAAACATGTAGCAACCAGCCTAACCCACACATGTAGATACCAGCCTAACCCACACATGTAGCAACCAGCCTAACCCACACATGTAGCAACCAGTCTAACCCACACATGTAGCAACCAGCCTAAACCACACAAGCGACATGTAGCAACCATACTAACCCACACATGTAGCAACCAGCCTAAAACACATGCAGCAACCAGCCTAAACCACACAAGCGACATGTAGCAACCATACTAACCCACACATGTAGCAACCAGCCTAAAACACACATGCAGCAACCAGCCTAAACCACACAAGCGACATGTAGCAACCATACTAACCCACACATGTAGCAACCAGCCTAAACCACACATGTAGCAACAAGTCTAACCCAAACATGTAGCAACCAGCCTAACCCACACATGTAGCAACCAGCCTAACTCACACATGTAGCAACCAGCCTAACCCACACATGTAGCAACCAGCCTAACCCACACTTGTAGCAACCAGTCTAACCCTCACATGCAGCAACCAGCCTAACCCACACATGTGATATGTAGCAACCAGCCTAACCCACACATGTAGCAACCAGCCTAACCCACACATGTAGCAACCAGCCTAACCCACAAAAGCGACATGTAGCAACCAGCCTAACCCACATGTAGCAACCAGCCTAACCCACACTTGTAGCAACAAGCTTAACCCACACATGTAGCAACTAACCAACCCACACATGTAGCAACCAGCCTAACCCACACATGTAGCAACCAGCCTAACCCACACAAGCAACATGTAGCAACCAGCCTAACCCACACATGTAGCAACCAGCCTAACCAACACATGTAGCAACCAGCCTAACCAACACATGTAGCAACCAGCCTAACCTACACATGTATCTACCAGCCTAAACCACATTTGTAGCAACCAGCCTAACCCACACATGTAGCAACCAACCAACCCACACATGTAGCAACCAGCCTAACCCACACATGTAGCAACCAGCCTAACCCACATATGTAGCAACCAGCCTAACCTACACATGTAGCTACCAGCCTAAACCACATTTGTAGCAACCAGCCTAACCCACACATGTAGCAACCAGCCTAACCCACACAAGCAACATGTAGCAACCAGCCTAACCCACACATATAGCAACCAGTCTAACCCAAACATGTAGCAACCAGCCTAACCCACACATGTAGCAACCAGCCTAACCCACACTTGTAGCAACCAGTCTAACCCTCACATGCAGCAACCAGCCTAACCCACACATGTGATATGTAGCAACCAGCCTAACCCACACATGTAGCAACTAGCCTAATCCACACATGTAGCAACGAGCCCAACCCATACATGTAGCAACCAGCCTAACCCGCACAAGCAACATGTAGCTACCAGCCTAACCCACACATGTAGCAACCAGCCTTACCCACACATGTAGCAACCAGCCTAACCCACACATGTAGCAACCAGCCTAACTCACACATGTAGCAACCAGCCTAACCCACACATGTAGCTACCAGCCTAACCCACACATATAGCAACCAGCCTAACCCGCACAAGCAACATGAAGCAACCAGCCTAACCCACACATGTAGCAACCAGCCTAACCTACACATGTAGCAACCAGCCTAACCCGCACAAGCAACATGAAGCAACCAGCCTAACCCACACATGTAGCAACCAGCCTAACCCACACATGTAGCAACCAGCCTAACCCGCACAAGCAACATGAAGCAACCAGCCTAACCCACACATGTAGCAACCAGCCTAACTCACACATGTAGCAACCAGCCTAACCCACACATGTAGCAACCAGCCTAACCCACACATGTAGCGACCAGCCTAACCCACACATGTAGCAACCAACCCATCCAACACATGTAGCAACCAGCCTAACCCACACATGTAGCAACCAGCCTAACCCACACATGTAGCAACCAGCCTAACCCACATATGTAGCAACCAGCCTAACCCACACATGTAGCAACCAGCCTAACCTACACATGTAGCAACCAGCCTAACCCACAAAAGCGACATGTAGCAACCAGCCTAACCCACATGTAGCAACCAGCCTAACCCACACTTGTAGCAACAAGCTTAACTTACACATGTAGCAACCAGCCTAACCCACACATGTAGCAACTAACCAACCCACACATGTAGCAACCAGCCTAACCCACACATGTAGCAACCAGCCTAACCCACACAAGCAACATGTAGCAACCAGCCTAACCCACACATGTAGCAACCAGCCTAACCAACACATGTAGCAACCAGCCTAACCAACACATGTAGCAACCAGCCTAACCTACACATGTATCTACCAGCCTAAACCACATTTGTAGCAACCAGCCTAACCCACACATGTAGCAACCAACCAACCCACACATGTAGCAACCAGCCTAACCCACACATGTAGCAACCAGCCTAACCCACATATGTAGCAACCAGCCTAACCTACACATGTAGCTACCAGCCTAAACCACATTTGTAGCAACCAGCCTAACCCACACATGTAGCAACCAGCCTAACCCACACAAGCAACATGTAGCAACCAGCCTAACCCACACATATAGCAACCAGTCTAACCCACACATGTAGCAACCAGCCTAACCCACACTTGTAGCAACCAACTTAACCCACACATGTAGCAACCAGCCTAACCCACACATGTAGCAACCAGCCTAACCCACACATGTAGCAACCAACCTAACCCACACATGTAGCAACCAGCCTAACCCACACATGTAGCAACCAACCTAACCCACACATGTAGCAACCAGTCTAACCAACAAAAATGCAACAAAATGGAAAAAAAAGAATAATTCTTTTTACCATTTAAAAAAAAATGAATTACCTAATACATTTTTCGGTTAAATTGACAATTCTGACAAGGGTTTATGTGGCGGTAAGGGAGGATGACATCAAAATGTAAACTTCTATAGAGACATTAGTTTTAATTCCCGACTATAAATATTGTTACTATTAAATATGAACATCTTAAAGCTATCATCCGCTTGGGAAATGTAGACACCAAATGCAAAATTTACGTTTAGAAGCAATAAATTCATGCTTTATATCAGTTTGGTCTTTAATTTGGTATAGTTCTGCAATGTCGTGAAAATGCATTTGGATTAAATGGATTGAAAAAATTAGTATAGGCCTACCCGTAAAAGGTAAAGAGCTGCTAGCGGATTCAAACGTTGTTGAAAAAAAATCTCTTTGGTCGCTAAAGAACTCATTTTTCTATTTATTAAAAATGTCTCGAATGATCTTTTTTTTTAAACGATTCTTAAAATGATGAAATGATGAAATTTGTGCAAGTTTTTATTTTAGTGTTTCTAAAATAATCATCAAAACTAATTATTACACTTGACTTTATTACTCAAATTTATGTAAAACCTTAGTTTAGCCTTAGTTATTATTTCGAAATGGTATAGCAGTAAAAAAACAATAAAACAATGGCAAAGTCTGTCAAATTGTTCCGGAAGTACTGTAAACCATACTTATTTGGCGTCATCTTTTATTTTTAATACAGAACGTATAAAAAATTTACAGATTTATTTTATTTGCGTGTTAAATACTGCTTTAGTAATTATTTTTTATTGCTATTTATTTTTAAGTATTTCAGCTAAATATTTTTGCTAATAAACATTGTTTAACAGGGTTTGTACGCAGTGTGGATAAAGTCTTGAGTTTAGAAAAGTGAATTTCAGACTTTAAAAAGTCTGGATGAGTCTACACTGTGGTATGACGTTTTTCGCTGAAACGCAGATGAAACCAGATTTCTCAGTTACTACTTTATTGAGGGAGGGAGGGGGGAGTGTTAGACCTTTCTTTTTGTTGTTGTTGTTGTTGCGTGACTGACCGTGTAAATGTGTTTCAAGTATTTAAAATTGTTATTTAAAGAAAGAACGATCGGCCATACAAATCTTGAGCTTTTTTTTTACCCGCTATTGTTACTTTGTCTAAGGTTGCAGGCAGGTAGTCTTATAACAAAATTATGAGGGAAGCTGTAAGTGGTAGTCTACGTATAATTTAACTACCTGTATTTTGTATTCACTCTCCAAACTGTTTTTGAAATCTTTGTAAAAGCTGACGATTAGGGCCTGAATAACCCACCCCTCCTAGTAACTAAGGTCACTGATATTTGAACTTGTATGAACTGACCGTAACCCCATGTCGGTAGTTGGGGGTTTATGGGTGGGGAGGGGTGATGAAGAACAAAAGTTAGGGTAGAGTTCAA